ACCTGGCCAAATACCTTGGAGTCTTGTCATCTGGCGCATATTAGATCAAATGCCACCTGTGTGGTTGCATTGCATAATGAATGTTACAAGATGAAATGATACAGCTAGTCCCACTCTGCTTTCCGCATTCTGAGTAGATCGCAAATTGCCAGTTGCTGTCACAAATCCAGTGCCAGCTGTGTATGTTGGCAGTTGTTTACTGTATTTGCAGGGAGGCATACATTCCCTTAAACCCAAGCTTCTTCACAATGTAAGCCAAATTATGGCATTAAATATTAGAGTTTCATATTGATCTTGGCAGCATGTGCCCCATTGTCAATCCACTCTAAATTAAAAAGGCAGTATTTGATCAATAGTGTTTAAGAACCTGATGTAAAACTGGTTTATTGTTTCTGTCTGTGCTACTCTTTCTTAAATGCAAAAAACATGCAGATAACATGCTGATTGTAACAGAAATTCAACAATTAGGCCTACATCTGTATTATGTACTAGTACTTTTGGAACTTTTGCTACCCCAGCATGGATAGAAGTACGCTTTACACAGTTGTTTTGTAGTGGGTTTTTTTTATTATGACTTGCTTTGCTTCAGAAACAGAGTCAGTTTAATATACATTGGCTGCGGTCGCACGGAGCATTAGCCATGCTACAGAGATGGAAGATAGGTGGATTTTCCAGGCGCGATCACAGCGCCACATCTGGGAAGCGTAGAGCTCCCGTGGCGAACCCAAGGCTTCCCGCCGAAGATGCGGGGTAAAAAACTAGTACCTCCGAGGTACTAGTTTCCGGAAACCGTGGGGCAAGGGCCGGGCGCCTGATGGTGTTTCCGGTGGTAGGTCGTGGCATCCGGTGCCCGCCCATGTACCCATAGCTAAAAGGTGTTTTTTCCCCAAGTCTCCACGGGATGCGCACAAGCACCCAACGGCGCATGCGCATACTTCGTTTAAAAACAAACAACACAGCCCCCCACTCCTTTTCCGTACCTCCCCACTCTTGGCTCGGCCTGCTCGAGAGGAACTCTCTGCACCGGGTGGCAGAGGGGGAGGTGCAGGGGGGTGTGGCGGGCTGAAGCTCCTCCTGGAGGGGACCGGACGGAGGACACAGTTTGCATTCCTCTGCAGCCCTGGAACGGGTTAAACCCGCGGAGCCTTTTGCTAGAGAGGCCGCTTCTTTGCCGCGCCACAGGATTGTCCTCTGATCGGCACATCCCCCCTAACCACGGGACCTGGACGGGACCTCTACGGGAGTCTGATCACGCAACCGCACGTTGTTTTGCTCCGGGGCAAACAGCCACGCTCCCCCCCCCGCATTTTCCTGCCCGTGGGACCGGGGCCATTCTTTCCTTTTTGTGGATAACATTTGGAAAAGTACCAGAAATGTTCACTGACTTGTCAATGAGAGCTCAAATACAATGCTATTTCAATATAAAACTTTTTCCTAGGGAACCAGGGGTCAGCAAATCATAAGCAGATCTGAAAATAAGTTGAGAAATAGTTTAAATCCCATTGGATGTTCACAGGAAGTGGCTTTTAGTCTACAAAGCACCGTTCGCTTTTTAATCGCAGGAAATAGCTTTTAGGCTGTGAAGCAGTGTTTGTTTTTAACTTGCAAATATTTTTCCCTGTTCACTTGAACGTGTCTTTAACAAGTCAACAGTGAGTTTTATGTTTGTTTAACCTGTAAGGTACATCTGCCTTGATTTGTTTAAGAACCTTGAGCTAGTTATGTTAATGAAAATACTTCATCACTTTTGATTAGACTATTGGTGCCTATAAAAGTTAAAAACAGGCAGTCTGATTTATGGGAACAAAAGGCCACCTAGTCTCCAGTGTCACTCTTGTTTCCCAGAGGTTGTGACATTCCTTTTACGGTGCTTGTATTTCCATATATTTGGTATCCTGAGTCACCTGCTGTGCTACCTCTCCTAATTATATCCACTTCTTTATAGAGCTCTTCCTTGGACTAGAGTATCCATTGTAGAATGATTTTTTTTCCAGTGATAGAACATTTTCTATAGAATGTATACATTTCAGTTCAGCATGATATTGTGCTTGAGAATGCTTATGTGATTAGGCAAACTTAAAACTGTTGAGTAAGACTATTTTTAACATAGCAACAAAGGTTGTTACATATACCATTAGCCTTTCAGTTAATGTCCGTGTAGATCTAACGATGTACACATTTTAAATGTTTATGTTTAATAGTACTTCCATGTAGAATATTCTTACATGAAGATGATCTCTGTGTAGGGGATAAAAATGTAAAGGTTCCCTTGCTTGAAAGCCAGTCGAATCCGACTCTAGGGTTGCGGTGCTCATCTCCGTTTGAAAGCCAAAGAGCCAGCGCTGCCTGAAGACATTTCCGTGGTCATGTGGCCGGCATGATTAAACACCAAGGCGCATGGAACGCTGTTGCCTTCCCATGGAAGCGGTACCTATTTATCTATTTGCAATTTCTTGCTTTCAAACTGCTAGGTTGGCAGGAGCTGGAACTAGAGACGGGAGCTCACTCCGTCATCCGGCACACTCGGGTCTCAAACTGCTGAACTACCGACATGCATCAAATAGATGTCATAATGGGCAATTTTAATTGTATGCATTCAATTTTAAAAGAATGTACCGTGGATGTGAACAAAACAAATTGTAGTAAACATTATTCTGTTTTGAAAGCAGATTTTAGATCTGCCCCCTCATTGTGATGGCTATGGAGAGAGTATCCAACCATATGCTCCACCTACAGCCGCCTTGCAATCCCTTTCACAAGTTTTGTTTTCCTCTGGATTGATTGATTGACTTTGCTTATACCCCACCTTGCTCCTCAGTGGGGACCCAAAGCTACATACATTGTTCCCCTCTCCTCCATTTTATCCTCACAACAACTTTGTGAGGTAGGCTAGGCTGAGTGTGTATGACTGGCCTAAAGTCACCCAGCAGTCTCCCAATGCAGAGTGGGGATTTGAACCTGGGTCTTCCAGATTCCAGTCTGACACTCTGACCCCTACACCACACTAGCTGACCCAAGATTAAAGGGGAAAGACCTGGAAATATTGCAAAGTCTTGTAGACTTTAGTCTAGTTTCCTGCTTTCTGTACAGAGACAAATCTTATGTGTGAAAATATTGTGTGGAAAAATACTGTTTTATCTATTAATCATTATACAATATACATTAACCATTATCCATCCATTCACCCTACCAATTGTCAGCACTACGGGGCTTGCTTTGTAGGGGCTCAGTTTTATCTCCCATGTTGTTCAATCCCTCTGTATTTATTATTTATATTATTTATTATTTCTATTAAAATATTTGTCCTCTTTTTATCCTGTTACACAAGACTCAAAACTTTTGGACATGATAATCCATATCATTAGACTTGGGTGTCATCAATATGCTGACGACACCCAGCTCTATATTTCTTTATCTAGACTGCCCAGTGGTGCTTTTGGTGCCCTGAGCTAGTACCCAGCTGCTCTGATTAAATAGCTAAGGGTGAACAAGTTGAAATTGAAAAGATGGAGGTGATTCCGTTGGGGAAGGCGATGGTCTTAGAGGGCACTGCACTTCCCACGTGTGATGGGGTTCAGTGGATCCTCACTAAATTAAGAGGCTAGGGGGTGTACTCAACCCAGCATTTCTGACTGGGAAGCAAGTTAATGCGGTTATGAAAATGCTTTCTTCTATCTTCACTTATCCCAGATGATGGCTTATTACCTTGACCCAGCCAATCTGGCTGCATGGCTCCATGCTATAGTAATCTTGAGGGTGGAGTGTTGCAGCACACTTTCCAGCTGTTACAGAGTGGCAAACTCTGATTGATACAGAATGCTATAGCTTGCTTACCAATGGGAACTGGGATAGTATAAACATTACATCTATTCTAAAGCCATTCCTTTGGTTACTGATTAGTTCAAAATGCTGGTTATTGTCTCCAAATCTATTTATGGCCTACCCTGCCTATCTACAGGACCACCACTGGCACAGTTTTATTCATGTAATAAGCAAAGCCTTCTGAAGATGTCACCCTGCAATGGTGTAGGAACACCAGGTAGGGGAGGGGCCAGTGACTCCATAGTTGAGCATCTGCTTGGCATGCAGAATTTATTTATTTATTTATTTATTTAAATTTATAACCTGCCCTCCCCGCGAACGGGCTAGGTCTAGGTTCAGTCCCTGGCATCTCCAGTTGAAAATGCTCAGATTGTAGGTGATGTGGAATACCTCCACCTGCAACCCTGGAGAGTTAAGACCAGTCTGGCCTTGATGAACCAAGGGTCTGATTCAGTTTAAGACAACTTCATATGTCTTCATGTGTCTTCTACCTGATGCTGCCTGGTGATGCCAGGAAAGCTGTCATACTTCTGTACAAACATCATGTGCAAACAGAAATATTCAGAAGATTGCTATTATTAAAGGGAATGGGGATGTGACAAAATGGAATTGTGTAAGACACTTTTATAAAATAAATGAGGTTGTAATTTTAATTGGCTGAAAACTTTAGACAGCTTTTCCCTATATTGCATTGTTTATTGGATGCATTATATTGTTTTTGTTTCATTGTTTTCAGACTCTACAGCTGTATTGCATTGTTTATTGCACTTAAGCGATGAACCTGCATTTGATTTATATGAAGTGTTGTCCTAATTAAACTCAGAATGATTATGTAAATTTAAATTTGCTTGTTATTTTATTTACTTTTGATTTATATACCGCTCTTGACCCCGAAGGGTCTCTGAGCGGTTTACATATGCCTCTTAATTCCTACCTAGGGCCACAATTTGTATGGGGGAGGGATTGCCTACCAGCACCCAGGCGGTGCGTTTTGTTAGTGTCTTCGGGCGGGCTTCAGATGTTACTCCCGGCGCCCTAGGATGGTATTTGGTATGGTTATTTGAATGGTATGGTTATTTGAGTGGTATGGTTATTTGAATGGTATGGTTATTTGAATGGTATAGTATATTCAATCACAAGTATATTATTTTTTGCTTCAATCTCTGCTTGGATTTCAGAAGGAACAATGCAGGTGACCGAGAGAAAGCACTGCAAGTGATGCTTCAGGTTTTGCAGACATGTGATCATCCTGCACCGGACATGTTCTGCTTGTGTGGGAGAATCTACAAGGACATATTTCTGGATTCAGACTGTAAAGACACCAGTAGCCAAGACAGAGCCATTGAATGGTAAGAGATAACAATGTGCTAAGATGGGAGTTGCTCTCATTATGAAACAAGAAGCTGGAGTAAGAGAATATCTACTTTAGAAATAGTGATGGGCGAACCTCAGAACTAGGCTCAACAAACAGAACTAGGCTCAACAAACTTACAAGCAAATTGTAAGTACAGCTTGGGGGAGTTGAATTCCTAATTTTGGATGTCATCACGCTGCTGATGACATCTTTTGGAGGACATTAGAACTGAAATAATTTCCCTGGTTCCCCTTCATGTGACACCCCCGCAATCTTTATGTGAACTTGGGTTTTGGAGGGGTACATTTCCTAAGGCTCTTAGTTCAACTGTTGTTGAAATGTTAGGTGCCAGCGGGAGGAAGAAATGCACCAGCCACCAGAGCCTTGACACTACAACTCACCCCTATTACCCCTGCTTTGCCAACATGTAAATATGGTGAAAAAAAAGATGAGAAGGTAGCTCAGGGAAGAACTCTTCTAATTTCTGAGCCAATTAAAATCTCTTGTGGCTATAATGCTTCCCTCAGATTTCAAGTGAATATTATAGACTGCAGACGTTGGTATTCAAAGTCTGAAATTAAAGACTTTGGGCTTACTAATTAAAGCATAAGAAGAGCTCTGCTGGACCAGCCCAAAGTTCATCTAATTAGCATGGTCCCTTGGACTGCAAGAAGATCATATCAGTCAATCCTAAAAGAAATCAATCCTTACTGTTCCCTGGAAGGCCAGATAATGAAACTGAAGCTCAAATACTTTGGCCACCAAATGAGAAGGGAGCACTCACTGGAGAAGACCCTGATGCTGGGAAAGATTGAAGGTCAAAGAAGACGGGGACGGCAAAGGATGAGATGGTTAGACAGTGTCATAGATGCAACGAACATGAAATTGAGCAAACTTCAGAGGACGGCGGAAGACAGGAAGGCCTGGCGTGATCTGGTCCATGGGGTTGCGAAGAGTCGGACTCGACTGTGCAACTGAACAACAACAATTCAACAGTATCCAGTCAGGTGCTCCTGGGAAGTTCTCAAGCAGGGCATGATGACAAGAGCTCCCTCTCCAAGCTGGTATAGTACATCTAAACCCTGAAGTTCCATCCATGGTTAATGGCCATTGATATACCTTTCTGCCGTGAAGGCAGCCTTTTAAATGGTATCTTAGCCAGTGGCTATCATATGTTGTGGCAATGAATCCCAAAAAGCTTATAACTGTTTACCATAGATTTTTTCTGCTTTGAGCCATCTACACTGTACGCCTGAGGCTGCCCTTCTTGACAGTCCAATCTGAACAACTTTCTTTGGAAATATGTCTCAGTGAGTTCAGTGGAGCTTACTTCTTCCGAAATATGGTTAGGGATGCAGCTCGTCAAGACATACTGGATCTTAGCTGCACAGTCTTAAGCTAACAGCATAGTGTGATTGGATTAATTTGATTACTGTTTTTGTAGCCACATAGATAACTACCATTGCTAGTTTTAAATTTCAGAACCCAGGGATATGTGGGTGCTTTGAATTGCCATGTGAGCCATATAGCCCATAGGCTACTTGCTGGCTACAGAATGTTAGGATCAAATACTCCAGCAAATAATTCTCATTTTTTAACAGTGTGACTTCTTTAGGCTGCAGTAACTGAAAAACTGACATATTTTCATGTTAAATGATGTATAGGGAAGTCATCTTTCTATTTCAATTGAAAGTTATGTGCCATACTAATAAAAAAAATATTTTGTTGTGTAATGACTAAAAAAATTTCTATGCTGCTTTTTAGACAGCAGTTTTCAGAGTTAGGGTTAAAGATGCTAGGCGCGTTTTGCTTCTTCATGCTGACTGTAAAATAATTATTATTACACTCTGTTAAGTTTATGCAGTATATCACAGTGCAGTGAACATTTTTTTAACTGAATACACATATTTTACTTTACAAGAATGTTTTCCTGCTTGTAAAATCTTCTCTGCAGGTACCGCAAAGGGTTTGAGCTCCAGTCAACTCTGTATTCAGGAATAAATCTAGCGGTTTTGCTGATAGTTGCAGGACAGCAGTTTGAAACCTCCATGGAACTCAGGAAAATAGGTGAAATATTTTTCTGCATAAGTATACAGGTGAAGTTATTCACTCCTTTTGAAAACTTTACGCTTGACTATGCACTATAGCACTTAACAGCATAGTCACAGAGAAGCAGGTCAGAGTGTGTTGCTGTTAATGGTAAGAGAATAGCACCAATGCTGCAGAGTTTCTGGAATAGTTTTTGCAAAAGAGGTTGTCCATAAGGACAGCCTTTTACCACTTACTATTGTGGACCCTGCATAGTAACAATCATGATTTTCTCTTAAGTGAATATGTGATCAAGGAAGGGAAAACAATACAACATGCCCTACTATTCCCTTCTCACCCGTTGTATTTATTTGTGAATAGGAGGTGGCCAGTGCAGTACTAAGCAGAGTTACACCCTTCTAAGCTCAGTGACTTCAGTGGATTTAGAAGAATGTACGTCTTTTTAGGATCGCACTGTAGAAGTACTTTCAATTTACCATTTGCTTCTATGTAGAACCTTTTGAGATTAGATTTCCCATGAATAAGACTTCCTACCACCTTTTCATTCTCAGAATGAAGATTATTGCATTCATTTGTAACAGAATCTTTTTAATGTGTATTTTTCAAGGTGTACGATTAAACAGTTTGCTGGGAAGAAAAGGGAGCTTGGAAAAAATGAGTAATTACTGGGATGTTGGGCAATTCTTCAGTGTAAGCATGTTGGCGATTGACATTGGTAAAGCAGTACAAGCTGCAGAGAGGCTGTTCAAACTGAAACCACCTATTTGGTACGTATTGTAGCATAACTTGAATTTGTGCCCCTCTTCTTTGCTTCACTGGGCCTCATTGAGTGTTGCAAAGCTTAGGACGTGATACCTTTCTTTATCACATGCTGATACAGAGGTTATATATGCATTCGCAGGAAATAATGTGAAAATGAAATGTGCTACGCTACAGGAAAGTTTCAAAACATCTACTCCTGTGTGGTTTCTATGGGGCATCAGAATGTGGTTTAATATATTGCTGTCTACTGTAGCGTACTCCTGTATGGCTTCAAAACATTGGAGGGTTTGGTGTGTGTGTTGGGAGGAGGGTTATGTCTAATGTGTATAGAAATCTGACCAATGGTTCTGCTATCCCGCCTGCCTGCCCTTCAAATGTTTTTATCAGTTGCTGTAGTGGCATTGGGTTGTCAGTTCTAGACCTTTAAAGTGGTCCTGCATCTTTAAGAATTTTCCAGCCACTGTCTGTTGCTCCTTTATTGGTACAGTTCTCTGATGGGAACAGCCATTCTTGGTAAACGTTTATGCTACTGTTAACATAATTGGACCTTGTCTTTGGGTTCATTCCCTTTCCCCCTCCTCCTTCATTCCTCTTATGCTACATTGAGACTTCCTTATTTGCAACAAAGCTGCAGTTTGTTATGATGTGCAAATGTGGCTTTTTAGCAAAGTGGTTTGTTTCTTGCTAACCAATTGGGGATTTGAAACTGGTTTAGAATCCAGGCATTGTAAACTAGAAACAAACTTCAGTTTGTTGAAAAACTTAATCTGGCATGACAATAATTTGCAGTTTATTACAAAAAAGGAAATATTCCTTCTCATTCTTAAGGGAGGACAAAGGGAGGAAAGAGCATGAACCTGAGGACTTTCTTGTTGTCTACCCAGAGTAAGAGCCTTTTGTACCTTGGCTTTCTAATTATCCCAATCTGCCCATTTTCAGGGAGAGGCTTCTAATTATTTGAATTTTGTTCTCTAGTTGTTTAACAGAAGTACTTACAGAAGCAATAATTATTTTCTACTTATCAATTTATTATATTATGGTTTCCAGGTATTTGAAGTCCTTAGTGCAGAACTTGGTCTTAATTCAGCGTTTCAGGAAAGTCTCCGTAGAACACTCTCCAAGACAAGAGAGGTTGAACTTCTGGTTAGACATAATCTTTGAGGCAACCAAAGAAACAATGAATGGCTTGAGATTTCCGGTACATTCTGTTATATCTAAAAATGTTTGTTCAGTTTAGTATTGTATGTAAAGTAACAGAAAAAAATGTGTCCTGATGTTATAAGCTGCCATGTGAACTAGCTGATAGAATCAGGTGAAAAGTAAAGCTGTTCTGGTCATTCATAGCATTGCCTGGCAACTGGGCAGAGCCAGCTGGCCGCATCCAGTTCGCTATGCATGGAATTGGACAACAGCAGTGGTGCAAGTCACTGCTTGTCCTTTTGCTATCAAAGGTGATCTGTAGGATCAGGCTGAGAACTAGCCAAGTGAACTTAGCAGCAGAAACCTTTATTCTGTCAACATATTACTAGGTGGCAATGGACACATTTTTGCATTTTAATGAACACTGGAACACATATTGTGGGTTCTGCAAAATGGTAATAATAGCCAATAGTTTTGTTCAGCTAGCTAAGGAACAATATAGATGCTGGAAAAGTGTTCAATAGGATTGAACGATTTTTAAGTGGTTATATGACAACTCAGCTTTAGGCCAGTGCTTTCTGCATGGGTAAATGAGATCTCAAAAACATCTCTAGGAAGGATAGTCAGCAAGAAGTGGTCTGAAAGATTAGTTCCTCTGGATTGCTCGTATATGAACTGCGGATATCAATGGGTTTCTAATAATTGTCCTAGGCTTATGAAATACTTTTAATATTACATCATAAGCTAGTGGGAAATCTGCTGATAGTAACCAGAAAAAGTGGAGGACCTTCTGTTGCTAGTATATCATGGAAATGAACAGAATTATGTGTTACAAGAACTAGAAAAAGGGGATTAAATGAAAAAAATAATTTAAAGGTGACTGAAACTTGATTATAACTTATGTTTTATCAACTTTGTGATTATGTTAAAGTATCTGTTAAAACTTTGAAGAAAAGATAAGAATTATTGTATTGTAAGTAGTGAGAGCAAGTTTAGAATAAGCAGGTTGCTGCTCACTCTCATAACTTGGTGGTAGTTAGATTTTACTAAATGTGTGCTTTTTTAAGGTATTGGTGATAGAACCAACTAAGATATATCAGCCTGCATATGTTTCGATTAATAATGAAGCAGATGAAAGAACTGTTTCCCTATGGCATGTGTCTCCTACAGAAATGGTAAGAATATTCTTAGCTCACTAGAAATACTTCACATTTATATGCCAGCTTCTCTGTTGAGGGTTCTTATAGCACCCTTCGCAAAAATACCTCCTCAGTTATACAGATGGACAGCTAAAGAGATAATTTATGTGACTCATCACATTTTGTGAAGCACCCTGTAAGAGCCCTTGATGTGTTTGTGTATATATATAATATATATTTTTAAAAATTTCTTTTGGGGAATGGAACTCATTTGATTCAAGTCTAGAGAGAGAAGCTTGTCTTGACATATGTTCTGTGTTGATCAGACCCTAAATACTGTGCATTTCCTCATAAAAGATGTGTTTTTCCAGGGATTTTTCTGAGTTTAACTGGCACACCTTACCCTTTTGTCTGTAGAGACTTTCTGATATGAGACTATAAACTTTAATAAACATAAAAATTAAACTGTTGGTGTTGTGGCCAGCAGTGTTCATGTCTCATTATTATACAAAGCAATACTTGAAGGATTTCTTCTTGAAGACAGAAAAGGTTCAGTAGAATATCTGCCCAGGGTCAGCTGTACTCCCCAGTAGGGATGGGCACGAACTGAACCACGATGCAAAAATTATGACTAATTTTGCCCTGTTTGTGGTTTGGGAACTGAAGTCCGTGGGGTTTGTGCCTGTTCCTGGCCAAAGCAGAAAGCCACGAAAATAGCTGAGTGGCCGGGGCTCGCTGTCCCTCAGCTGTTCCAGGCTTTCTTGTGCAGTCCCTTTAAAGTTTAAGCTGCTCTGCATGGCTCAGCTGTTTAAAGGAGTATTCTTGGGCAGCCATCCCCAGGGCTTGCTGCCCAAGAAATCCCATTTAAACAGCTGAGAGGCACAGAGCAAACTTCTCTTTGTGGCTCAGCTGTTTAAAGAGGCTTTCTTGGGTTCAGCTCTGAGCCATTTAAGCCAAACAACTGAGCGGCACTACAGCTTTCTGTGGGAAGCAGAAAGCAGTAGTTTAAATGGCTCAGAGCTATTTGAACCCCTGCTTTCTGCTCCCTACAGAAAGTGGCGGGGAGCAGAAAGCAGGGGTCACAAACCCATGTGAACCAGTAGAAAAGACTAAAAGTCCAGTAGCACTTTAAAGACTAACAAAATTTGTGGTAGGTATGAGCTTGTGTTAGGTATGAGCTTCTAGGTATTAGCCTGTATCTGAAAAACTAAGCAGTGACTCACAAAAAGTCATACCTTACCACAAATTTTGTTAGTTTTTAAGGAGCTAGTGCACTCTTACTCTTCTGCTGCTACAGACAGACTTAACATGGCAACCCATCTTCCTATATCTCCATATGAACCAGTTCAGTTCATGAACCCACCAACCTTCCCGTTTGTGTAGGTTGGTGGTTTGGTTGATGCCCATCCCTACTCCCAAGGTCCTCTCCAAGTATACTACTATCCCGTTTCATGTTATTGCCCTAAGTAAACTGGAACAGCATTCTTTTCAACATTTTTCTGGCACAATTTTTTGTGTTCTATATGTGATAAGGTGTGGGTGTGATCTTGCTTTGAAATATTCATTTTTTACCATTTGCAGAAACAGATTCATGAATGGAATTTTACAGCTTCTTCTATTAGAGGAATAAGGTTGGCATGCTTGAAAACAATTCCATGTTTTAATGTGTCTTATTGTGCTTTTGGACTTTCATTAACTCCATTTTCCTATTCCTGTTCTAAAAATGCTAGAACTTCAGATTTTAAAAACTTATACAGACTTTGAGGAGCATATGTTGTAGGTATGTCAGAAAAAATACCAGTTGACTATCATGTGTAAGAGCCCATGCCCTAAGGTTGCCAGGTCCCCTAGGGGGGTGGGGGTTTGCCCGCTCAATGGGTGTCTTACCCACTGGCCTGGATCAGGCCGCCAGGGGGAATGCCACCCCCAAAGTGCCAGTATCGCAGAGACATGCCCAGCATGATGTCGTTACCCGGAGGTGACGTCATCAAGCCGAGAACGTTGTGGGGTGGACGCTCTATCATTCGAGGGAAAACTCTATGGTTTTCCCTCGAATGATAGTGGTCTTGCCCCCAACGTGCCCGACGTGATGACGTCACTTCCGGGTGACATCATCACAGTGTGTGCACTTCGCGTGCGTGCCGAAGAAATCCCAGGGAGGGTGAGGACTCCTCCACCGCAGCAATGGGTAGGACCTGGTAACCCTACCATGCCCATAGAGATGTGTCTTCTGTATTTGTGTCTCTGAGTTAAGACTACTAGCTATATGTGTTCCAAGTTAGAAAGAGGGGACAGTGGTCATATCCTGACATGTTCTGTATCCTTGCTGAATGAGTTTTAACTGAGATAGGGACTCTTTCTGATACAAACAGGGCCCTTTACAACATTAGCTTTGTTTGAAAATTTATGTTTTAAAGTTGTATCTATCAAGTTACATCTATGCTAGCCAGTTTACTTATTCCTTCCTGCTTAGATTAGTGATTGTACATCAGTCACATGAAATCATCATGCAGTTTTGGAGGTGGCTTCTTGTAGCCAGCTAAAAATTCAGGATATCAGATGCATGTGGTAACTCTTATGAACAAGCATGTCATGAGAAAACAGAAATCTCCCCATGAGAACTGTATCATTTAGACTACACTTGGATTTCTTCTTAAGCACAACTTGAGATAAGCTTCAGTGCCTGGTTTAGATGGAATGCTGTATAATATTAACAGCATTTAGCATCTATGCCAATATGTACTTAATCATGTTTAAGGTCATGGAAAAAGGGAAGGGGGAGGACCAGCAATGCCCCTCCTTCAGTCACCTAACAACAGCTGAGTTCCCTAGCACTATATGTCTTCCAGCCCTAACAGATTGGTTAAATATCATCTAGTTAATCAGAAATCTAATTGATTGTCTTGCCTAATACAAATTAGCAGATTTTCCTCCTTATTCCTTCATGCCCAGAGGGAAGTTAAATACTACTTGTTCTGCTCAGTAGAGGAAGCCCTCTGATGTAAACAAGATATAAAATAAAAATACAGATCTAAAGAAACAAACACTTTTTAAAATGAATAGCCAAAGCTGTGGTTCTCCTGGTTTCTGTAGATACATCACCAAAGCTTTTTAGAATCTTCTCTTGCACAATGTGTTATGTAGAACTCAAATAAAAAAAGTTTGCTATAGTTTGCATGTGTCTTCCTACTCAGAAATACATTTTTTGATGCTAGTTCTTGGGAGATTAGAGTTTTGCCCAGGTCATAAGAAAAATCTAATATGTATTTCCCTAATATTGATTTAATATTTGAATTTAACCATGCATACAAAACAGTTAATCAAATATGTTTTCATATTTCAGTCCTAACTAGGGGTAGAGCATGTTTAAAAAAATTCATCATGACACGCATACCATAGAATATGTTAATAATTATTAAGCACTGAATAATCAGAATATATTTGTATTTCTTCTGACATCTTTATGCTTCTGTAATTCTGTTTCTTGTAACATACAATATTCCTTGTATTGTCTTTCATAACATCATTATTGAAAGATGTAGCATGTACAAAGTCAATTACTCTTCCCTTCCATGTACACTACTGAACAAAATGTTATATTTAGACTGGCAAATTGAAAGCACAGGTAGATATTGATCTAGCTGCCTTTACATAACCTTCAAAAATTGTCATTGCTTTCTCCTCTTGCTAGTCTAGTGCGATATGGATTTATGTCTCATACATATAGTAGTAGACAGACATTGTCAGCAAAGTTCAGCATCCATTATCATATTTGAAGGTCTTTTGTGTATGACACAGTGAAATAGAAAGGCCTGGGGAGATGGGGAAGCTGTGCTGTTTTTCTTCTTCACTACTCACCCATGAACCTAGTATAACTTTGTTTTGAATGAATTTTTTGCAGCATATCTAAATTTGATGAACGATGTTGTTTTCTGTATGTCCATGACAACTCTGATGACTTTCAAATCTACTTTTCTACGGAGAACCAGTGTAATAGGTGAGGCATTTGGTTATTTGTTTTGCTAACTGTCAAAGTAATGGATGCAAGAATTGGTGATACATCTGAAACACTGATATGTTTTAATATACAAAGCAGAATTTCATTGTTGAGTTATTTTCTCGATTCTACGTGGTTAACACCCTACTGTAGTTATTTTCCAGGGATTAAAATGAACACTAACTCTGATGTAATTGACACAAATAGCAATAGCAATGCAAACTTTGGTTTAAATCTTCTTTGATGACTCAGTTATAAAACGTTCCTTAAAATAAAGATTTGTGAGGCAAGCTTTCCTACTTTCAGATTTTTTAGTATTCCCTCTTTCCGTTTCTTTTCCAGTGTGCTGAAAAAGTATGTGTCAAACTATTTTTTTTTTGCTTTTTCAGTTATAAAACTGTCCAAAGCATTCACAATACAACAATAAGTTTAAACCATTTATGCTAAATAACAGCATAATGACAGGAAAATAGCTTTAAAATATCATAGCAGCACATACAGCTTCAAGAAAAAACAACCAAGGAAGTAATTGCATCCTACTTTCATCTTGAAGTTTCATTAGAAGTAGCATTTATGCCTCTCTGTGGAGCACATTGTTCTCTGATGCTGAGGAATTATATTCCAGTAATCCAAAATTTCACATCTGTACTTGACTTGACAAGTGGAACGTATGGTACCTTTGGCCCACCAGCCAGTTCTGAAGCAGTTCTGAATTTTTTAAAGCCAAATCAACATTTTTAAAGTTTTCTAAAAGCTTTATAATTATTAAGGAAGATCTTTAAAATGCAGTGTTTTAAAAAATTAAATTAACATTTACAAACAAATTGGAATCAAGGAAGTTGTGTAAAGCACAGTATCAAATGAATATCACAATATGAAAAAGTTCATACTCTTCCGCTGTTATATTGTTGCTTTAGTGAGACCCATTTAAAGTAATTTAAACAATTAGTCAAAAAAACTGCAGGACCAACTGTCTGGAGTACAGAGTGTTTTGAGATAAGCAGGGGTCATTTAGTAGAAAAAGAGGTGCAGGAGCTCATTAGCATAACATTAGCAAAACTTATTTGCATATGCCACACCCCATGACATCACCGGAAGTGTGTCAGAAGGCAACACCCACCACTCAGGCTCCACTGGACTGTTTTGGATTGCTAGCTATTGGGGGGGCGTGCAAATCTGTCCTCGCAGAGGAGGGAGAGCTTGTACCTGAAGGCGGGCCGGGGGGGGGCTCTGCAACTTACCTGGCTGCTTCTTGCTCTTCGTGGTCCAACTGAGGGCTGCTGGGAGAAGGGGGCAGGGCTTGTTGCATGTGCCCGCCCCCCTGGGCTCCTTACTGCCGGAGCTCCACTCCTGTGCGCTTCCGCAGGAAATGACCCCTGGAAATAAGAATGGTTTATAAGGTATGCCATTGTCCATTTCAAAAGAAAAAATGTTACATTGAGGACACCAGTGATAGTTTAATTGTTTGCAGTAAACCATCAGTCCATTTTAATCCTGGAAAATTTAAGTGGAATAGACTTTATACACATTTAAATTATGTTCTAGGGTGAGCATAAGTATTTCTAATGTACAATCTAGTTAGTAGCTCTTCACATAACCTGCTGACTTTTCTAAATATAATGCAGAAATGGAATGCTAGTTAGTGAAAGTCAAGTGTGCATTTTAGAAGCCAAGTAACACTTTGAAACTTGTCATATCTGATATGTGTACATTTTTAAATGTTAGCATGGTAAGTTTTAAGAGGGCTATCTGTGTCAGAATACAAGATTTTGTGGCAGTTTGAGAAGGTTGATTTGCAGTCAGAGTTAACGTCTGTTGGACTGATCCCTGCCCTATTTCAGAACAAAACATGCCAAATCATTCTACAGAGTTCAGCTAATTATCATATATTTACATTACAAAATCCTCTGCCAAATAAAGAAATTAAGGGGAGAGTAGTAAGGAAAATATGTTGGCAAATTGGATTGTATCCAAGCACCCTTTTAGGTCAGTCTCCTCCATATTACAGCCTCTATCCCAGATAGCTTTTGTCTCCTTGGCATATAGTCTGTTTTGGTAGCCAAAGGGGACCCCCCACTCCCTTTTTCACCACTGACAAAACTGGTTCAATCCAACCCATCATCTTTGCATTAAAAAGAATTAGAATTTGAAATAGAAAGATTGGCCAGTTTTGCAGAAAAACTGATACTGATTTGTTTTTTACCATGAGATATATATTGCTTTCAGGTTCTGTGGTTTAGTTAAAGAAATTTTAAGTGATGCTGTGGGAAGTACTTTGGAACTGGAAGGTGAGATTGATGGTGACACACTCGAAGTAAGTAAACTTGATCTAGGAACAAAAATGTTTATTATTAAGATTCAAGTTCTAAAATAATGAAAAAACTAAGAAATTTAATCATGTCAAAAACATAGAAACCATGTTACAGATATAAACGTGGAATACAGTAGTCCTGAACTGAGTTGTATCTGCTGTTGTGATAATCAAAACAGTATAGGGAGGATCTAAATGAAAGGGACAACGAAGTATCTAAATGAGATTCATGAAGAAAAATGATAGTGTCAGCACTTGCAAAACAAAGTGCCGGTATCTTTCTGAGGCCTGATGGGGTTAACGGGCAGTCAGATCTCAGGAAAGGCTGGAATACCCAGTGTAAAGCCATTATTCCCCAAATGGAGCAAATAATCAAAGGGGTACAATACACTGAAAATGGCCTAAACTGTACAACTATTTCATGTGTTTAAATAAGTGTCTTTCTGGCACCAAGCAATGCTATTCAAAGATAGTATCAAACTAACACAACCCAGTACAACGTTTAAAAAAATTATTTGTATCCCATTTTTTCGGGCAAAAATGGGCTGCCAAAAAGACACAAAGATATTTAAAAAGCCAAATATAAATAACATACATACAAATGTTCCCTGATATTAGCCAAACTGGATCAAGCACGTATGATTTAAAATATATACTAAGGAGACAGTTGTGCAGAAACTTAAGTCATGTGTTACTGGTCCAGCTGTACATGCCGTAGCTCCCTTGTATGAAGGTTGTTGAACTATCTGTTTATAAGCAGCATTTTTTTTCACAGAGCTCTACAGTGCAGATGATTTGGAGTGAGTCCTATGTCTACAGTGCAGATGATTTGGAGTGAGTCCTATGTTTAGGGCAGTGAGGTGGGATGTGGTTGATGGGTCAGTGGATTTTTGAGGCTTGTCACAAGTGGTGCTGCTGCCCAATATTCTATTTACCTGTCTCTGTATATGAACATTGGCTGCATGTTCATCTGCAGTCCAAAGATGTGCATTACAACCCTGGGTAGTCTTCTACAGAATTAGAGCATAATTCAAAAAGGAAAAGAACTATCCTTATAGACCAGGGGTGTCAAAGATGTGGCCCGGGGGGGCGGATGAAGCCCCTGGAGGGCTTCTATCAGGCCCGCAGTGGAACTGGCTGTGTTCTGCTGCTTCTTCTAGTTCTGCTGCTGCTGCATCATCGTAGGTTTGCAGCTTACGGATACACACCTGAACAGCATACTCAACATTGCAGCAGCACAGACATTTTGATGCAATAATTCAGAGCAAGAGGTGTCAGTTATCAGACACTGTTAAATAAACAAAATATTGCAAGACTGCTAATGTTTTAAGCATGTTTTTATTCTAAGTAAAAAAAACCCTTTGTGTTTGTGTCCTTTATAAAGTTTATATCTCTGCTACCTGGCATTACATTTTATGACACACATGGCCCGGTCCAACAAGGTCTCATTTATGTCAGATCCGGCCCTCATAATAAATGAGTTCGACACCCCTGTTATAGACTGTTCTGTGTGTTCTCAACTATCCCTTGTAATCCCTTCCCTGGTAGAAGAAATGTCTCCCTAAAGGCCTCTGAGGAATCTCCATTAGCACCTATTGGACCACTGCAATGGCCTGAAATACCAGGGAACATGTCACTTTCCCAGGGCACCAGGGTCCTTAGCATGGATATAAGACACCCTGGAAAGCACATTCCCCTGATCTCTTGGAATATTATGTACACCACCCTGAACTCTTTGGGAGAAGGACAATATAAAAATATAATGAACTAGGAATAAGGCCCGTTGTGGAAATAAATAAATACAACAAGCTCTAGAAAGAGGCTCTGAGCAGGTGCCCTGGCCTGTGGTGCATCCTCATTTGGAATACTGTGTTCAGTTCTGGTCACCATGCCTCAAAAGAGATATTATAGCATTAGAAAAGGTGCAGAAAGGGACAGCTAAAATGATTAAGGGGATGGAAAATCTTTCCTATGAAGAAAGGTTAAAGAGGTTAGGGCTCTTTAACATGGAGAAACCAAGATTGAGAGGTGACACGATAGAGGTTTACAAAATTATACATGGGATAGAGAAGACAGACAAAGAAGTACTTCTCTCCCTTTCTCACAATACAAGAACTTGTGGGCACTCCATGAAATTAATGAACAGTAGGCTTAGAACAGATAAAAGGAAGTACTTCTTCACCCAAAGAGTAATTAACATGTGGAATTCCCTGCCACAGGAAATGGTGGCTGCTACAAGCATAGACAGCTTCAAGAGGGAATTGGATAAACATATGGAGCAGAGGTCCATGAGTGGCTATTAGCCACAAGGCATAGATGGAACATTACATCTGGGGCAGTGATGCTCTGTATTCTCAGGGGGAAATTGTGGGAGGGCTTTTGGAGTTCTGGCCCCGCTGGTAGACCTTCTGATGGCATCTGGTTTTGGCTACTGTGTGACATAGAGTGTTGGGGTGGATGGGCCATTGGCCTAATCCAATATCGCTTCTCTTATGTTCTTACAAACTTCAGTTGCCTTAGAATACAGTTGCAAGATAGTTGTCTGGGACAGGTTCCTTGGGAATATAACTTGCCAGCAGTGAAGTAACTCTTCCAACATTGATGGAACTTTCAGTTCCCAGCACCTCAGAATGCTTATTCTTACCTTTACAATTCTAAATTACAGTTTAGTATTGGAGGTACCTCAAGAGACACCTGTTCCATATGATCCTTCTTGTTAAGATCTTCATTAGAAGCTATGCTCTGTGTCCCCATATTGAGAGATGGAATGGACAGCTACTTTATTTCTGTTATGGGACCTCAACTCTAGAATCCACTCCCTGCTTGAGTTTTAGGTACCAGATGTAGACATTTTTATTTTTCCAGACTTTTGGTAATTGGTATCATTGTGGTAATAAGTATCATTTGCTGCCAAGCCATGCATCCATTTTTCATTTGGTCATTTAGCAATTGTGGATTTTATTGTATTTTGATAATAGAAGTCAATTGTTTCAAGAACTTCTTTGTGAGGCAGGATGTAACTGTTTTAAATCAATGCCATGGAACTACCACCATGTATCAGAAAAAAATTAATAAAATCTAGAGCAGGGGTGTCAAACATGCCAATCTGACCTGCAAGGACCTGGCTGTTTCCTCCTTCCTTTTCCAGTTCTGCTGCTGCTACGTCACAGCTTGCTTTACCAGTCCCTCTCAATTGCACAGGAGAGATAGATGGGCACGCCTCTCCTGTGCAGTTGAGAGAGTCTGGTAAATAACTGGCTGAGCTCCTCCCTCTCCTCATCCCAGGGGGAGGGAGGGAAAAGCCAAAGCTTGCTTCCTGGCCAGGCTGCAGGAGACAAAGGGCAGCCTTTCTTTCCTTCTACTGGCTGAGGCGTCTCCCTGAAGGGAGGGAGGGAACAAGGGAGAGCTTGATTTGCTGGGCTGCCTCAATCGCACGGGAGAAATACCAAGCCCCTTTAAGTCCAACAATGTTTTGTTCAAGGTGTCAGTTATCAGAGACTGTTAAATACACAAAATATTGCAAGAATTTGAAGCATGTTTTATTTAAAGTTTTAAAAAATCTTTAATTGTGTTTGTCTGTGTCCTTTATAAAGTTTATATCTCCGCTACCTGGCATTACATTTTATGACACACATGGCCCAACAAGGTCTCATTTATGTCAGATCTGGCCCTCATAATGAATGAGTTCGACACCCCTGATCTAGAGCCTTCCCATGTTGGATCTTCCGGTCATGTAAAGTTGCATGTCCATTGGAAGTTATATGTTATTTAATAAATGAGAATTTTTGTCTGAGTGGAGAAGAAGTCTGGATGGTTGTTCGCCCCATTCTTGCAATGGACATCACATATCACACATGCTTGTAAAGGACAGCTGCCTATCTAGTGTTTTAAAAGTTTTAAAATTGTCAATTAAGGCTACCGCCATCCAGGTGAAATAATGCAAAGTTGGTGCTTCATAACGTTGTTATCGGAAAACATTTTTTAAATTTTCTTGTTCTTTTATTTCTAGCAGATCTGTTGATTGCAAAGGCAATACATTTCTAATGGCTTTTGTCAAAATCAGCTTAACGCACACCCTGTCTGTGTCTGCATGCTGCTGTGTTCTGCTTTCAGTACGAGTATGACTACGATGAGAATGGAGATCGAGTGGTGTTAGGCAAGGGGACCTATGGGATAGTTTATGCCGGGAGGGACCTTAGCAATCAGGTCCGAATAGCCATCAAAGAAATACCAGAGAGGGACAGCAGGTGAGCCTTAATATTTCTGCCAGTACATTCTTGTGTGTTTATGCAACTGGGTTGTTGTTGTTTTTTGAACACGGGTGATCCTTTTAATCAGAACATATATTTAGTGTGTGAGCTCATTCTCATTCCATTGCACAAAGCTATGGGCATACATTACACTCAACTTATACAGGGTTCAGCGTTAGAAATGTTGAATCATTTACCTCTCGTGTTACAGTGAGGGACAAAGCAAGTGATGCACCATTCCCTTTTCACTTTTCCTACTCATGTATGGTTATCTCGGCACCATAATACTTCTGGCAATATGTGTCACCCTTACTCAATGGTCCCTTAAGGGTTTTGACAGGTGTTTTATTTCTAACACTAGGAAAAAGGCCCATTGTGGAAATAAATACAGTGGCCTCTATAAAGAGGCTCTGGGCGGGTGCTCCGGCCTTGGACACTCAGTGTCAATTTGCTGTGGCGACCTCAGCAGGGTATAATGACACTGAGTCCACCATTTTCTCCAGAGGAACTGATCTCTGCTACCTAAAAATCAGTTGTAATTTTGAGTGATCTCCAGCCCTCACCTGGAGATTGGCAACAATGGTTCCCCAGAAGGGAATAGTTGGTTTGGAGGGTGGAATCTATGGCTTTGTACCTGTCTGAGGTCCCACGCCTCCTGAAACCTCACCCTCTCCAGGCTCCATCCCTCACATCTCCAGGAATTTCCCACCTGAAGTTGGCAACCCTATCTCCTTCCCAGCCAATCATCAACCTACCTTTATTTTCCCCTCACTCTTCGGCTTTCCTCCCCCCACACACCCGCAGCCTCTCCCGTGCTCTGAAGCCCTGACTGCTACATGACATTGGTTGTCATATGGGGGCCACCTCAGCAGCATATAAAGATACAGAGCCCACCATTTTCTCCAGGGGAACTGATCTCTGCCATCTGGAAAGCAGTTGTAATTCTGAGTGATCTCCAGCCCTCACTTGGAGATTGGACACATTTTACCTCAGAACAGCAAAACTGTTTAGAATGTTAGAGGCAAAAGCCAATCAAGTCGCATCTGCAAGCGACCTCTGTGTTCCGAGGCAGAGGCCAAAGAGGCTGCATATGCAAATAACCTCTGTGTTCTGACTGGCTATGGGGGGGAGTGGAACAGCAAAATGTTTAGAATGTTGGAGGCAGGACTCAGGCAAAGCAGCCAGTGGATAGGGAGACCCTCTGAATGACAGATCAGAGAGCGAACTGATTTTGGAGCATGTGGAATGTTCTAGAGAAGTGCCACCACCATTTGGCTTTTATTTATAAGGGAGATGCTTGATATTTTGTAGTGGGTTTTTTTTTTCCTATTTGTTGGAAATACTCAAAATGAGTTATTGGGGGGGGGGAAATTGGGGTGTGCATCTGGGGTTCAGTTTAAAGGAGACATTTTTTAAAAAAATCATCCCCAAATAAGCCGTATGTCGCAATGAAGATGTGGAAGGGCCTCCCAGAGGGCACTGGGCACTGCGTGGAAGTTTCCCAAAGCATTTTCAGTGCTATCTTGGATGTTTTGAAGGAGGAAGAGTGTTTGGATAAGGAAGAAGAAGCAAGTAAACTGGGATTGGGCAGGGTAACTTTGTATCAACTGGTCAAAAAAAATAAGGTCAGCCCTAAGTGCCCCATTTGTTTTAGGCTTTTGAGAAGGCTTCCTTTGTTTTCCACTGGGAAGCACAGCAGAGAGAAGTAATTCAGTGACTATTCTTGCAGTTTCTTACCGTGCTGCAGCTGCTTTCCTAGTTCTAGCTCTCCTCGTATGTTGCAGTTGTCTAAGGCGTTGTGGATCTTGCAGACACTTTGTCCACACTGAGTCACTGGGCTATGCAGTCAAGTCCTGTCCCAAACAGTGCCACTGTAATTGCTGAAAATGCTCCCACTCCGAACAAAATCATTTCCATTATTTGGTTGGACACCTTCCAATCTGATGGGAGATATGTGACTGACAGGGATATTGTCCAACCAGAACATTTAATGAGCATTCTGATAGGCACCTCTGTGTATGGCATTTCCATTTTCCTCTGTTCAATGCAGCATCTCACTGGCTGGTTCATTATCGGGGACTGGGTGTGAGCAAGGGGAGTGGTAGGCTTAAATTTCCATTTCCTATAGAACATGGATGATTTGTATTTTGGTGATGATTCCTTGAAGAGGGATACAGTACTTGAGAATTTTATTCCAGTGGAAGCAACTATGAAATTGATTTTCTCATATAACTAATTTTAATTTCAATATTAAAGAATCCAATTTATGTGTTTCAAACTATTCCAATGTGAGGGGGTTTTTTTTGGGGGGGGGTTGCACACTCTTCATGTTTCACTTTTCATGTATGTAGATAATTCCTTCTTTATATGCCAGAAATGCAAGATCTTTTCACTAATGTAACCTGCTGTTTGAGGTAAATTTAATAAATTTCCTTCTAATAACTGGTAAAAATATAAAAGGCATGCACACTTTTCATATTTATTCTGTGCCACTGTTACCACCAATGGCCTGCCTTGTTGTTTGGAGAATTTAGCTATGCAGCAGGATACGCCAGAGGGGTACAGGAATTGCATACCACTTGTATACTGAGGTCTGGCACAGTAGGAAGACTCCAGATTTGAAGAGTAAATTATATAGGTTTTATTAAAGTAGTCCCCTAATTACAAGCACACTAAACATTCAAAAGAGCAAGCAATACAGAACTAAGAAAGCAGAGGTGATTGATAGCGAGTAGAGGGGTAAGTTATGGGGTGATACAACCTGTCCAGACGTGCAGGGGTCCATGGAGATGGGATTATGGCCCAAGCCCAGAGGTTTACGAGTGAACTGCCAGTTGGCATCAGGGCAGAGGCACACACTCTGAGGCCATGCGCTCTGACAGATATAGACATTGGAAAACAATGCAGACCAATGGGCAGCCCTGGGGGCTGGTCTCAGGTGAGAATAATAGATTACCTGGGCCAATGATGAGTCCCAGGGGTGTGTGGCATCAGGATAGGCAAGGCTGGATGTGACCAATGAGCTTCCAGAGGGGCTCAATGAGCTTCATAGGGCACTGCTTGTGGAGGTTCACTGGTCATTTTGGGGTGTCTCTGTTTTGGGAAAGACCACCCCAGGTTCAGGGCTGAGGATGCTGGCAACACCACATTCCCCTGGTTTTAGACGTTTTTAAGGATAATGCACATATAAGGATGGATCCAGCACAAAATTTCTACTTGCTTGTGCTGTCATGGAAGTGAAAACACAAGAAAAATACCATGGTAGCAACTTGCACTAAGTCAAACTTTATGTATCCCTTGTGGAAACTTGTGTTTCCACTTGCACAAGATCTTGTGCAACCAGTTTCTGGACACCATAAAACATAGGGAAGAAAGTGCTAGCTGTTGAACAAGATCTTGTGCAGTACTAAGTTGGTTTATGTTTCCATTTCTGCATCACTGGAACCAAGCCATAATTATGTAGGCTGGGGATTTCCAGTTCAGTCCAAAGCACTGAAGTCAGTGGACTTAGAATAGTATAATTCTACATAGGATTTCATTCTTAGAAATGTTAGATTGATATGTTTCCCTTTTATTTTACTATTTAGACAACTTTTCACTTTGTATCTTCATGATTAGATATTCTCAGCCACTACATGAAGAAATAGCCCTCCACAAATATTTAAAGCACCGTAATATAGTCCAGTATCTTGGTTCTGTTTCTGAAGATGGATATATTAAAATCTTCATGGAACAAGTGCCAGGAGGTTTGTATCATATTAATTTCCCTCTACAGATTTTTGAAAAGCCTTCTTTTCTTTATGAAGTATTAATTTTGCTGCATATGAATAATAGATTTGAAGTGTACAGTTTTCATATTACATGGATAAAATTTTGTATAATATAAATGACATTGCAAAAAAAAAAAAAACACCAGGATACAGTACAACCTCTCAAGCATCTGCCATAGGTTAATCCAGGTTGGTGGTAGACAAGCAAACCATAAGTTGCTAAAGTATGGATGGCATAACAAACTGTGGTTATTCTGAGTTGGAAAGATTTCAGCCTTGGTTTGGTGCGTAGGAGAAGGAAGAGTTCACAAGGCCCAAGACATTCTGGCTCATTCTAATCACAGGCAAACCATTTTCTCTTTGTGATGTCTGAATGTGGTCCATGAGTTTTGGCCAGAAAGTTGAGGCATAAAAAGTGTGCAACACTATGAGGACTCAGTTAAGACAGCTTTGGACACCCTAGAAAGTGTAATTTTTTGTCCTTTTTTCTGTCTAAACCCAGGAAGTCTTTCTGTACTTCTAAGATCAAAATGGGGACCAATGAAAGAACCTACAATTAAATTTTATACCAAGCAGATCCTAGAAGGTCTGAAGTATCTCCATGAAAATCAGATCGTACACAGAGACATAAAAGTGAGTATGTAGATAATTCCTTCTTTATACGACAGAAATGCAAGATCTTTTCACTAATGTAACCTGCTGTTTGAGGTAAATTTAATAAATTTCCTTCTAATAACTGGTAAAAATATAAAAGGCATGGAATTCAGGGGAAATCTTGGCACAGTTTATAGTGACATTTGTGTACCTGCTTATTATTTTGTTTCTTAGGGAGATAATGTTTTAGTGAACACATATAGTGGAGTGGTAAAAATTTCTGATTTTGGGACTTCTAAACGTCTGGCAGGAGTCAATCCATGTACAGAGACATTCACAGGTATGAAAAAATAGAACTTTTTGTTTGTGGTTTGTCTGTGTGTTCCTTGACACCCTGAATAGCTATGAGGGTTAACTGTCTGAAAAAATGGCTACATGAAGCCAAAACTCTACATCCATAACTCTCCTGTGTTTTAGAAGCCTAGCTGCCACTTTCCTGTGACAGAACCATGGTTAGGTTGTGGAGAAGTTTTCTGGGCAGGAAGTGGTAGACTGGAGGATTAGTGCTTAACCTTTCACTTACCTTTGGCTTTCCTCCTGGAGCTCACACATCCTTGCCATATTTCCAGAATTATATTGGTAATAAACACTGCTGTTTTTTCCAGCTAGGGTTCCAGATCATACAAAGATGCATGTGTTGTGGAAGAAATGTAGTGGGGGGAAGAGTTAAGCTGTCCTGCCTGCTTGTCTGTTGCTTTTCTGAAACACCGTCCCTCTCATCCCACCATCACTTGCAGTGGCCGGATTCTTAGATCAGGTGACTGCTGACACATGTGTAGCTTGTGCCTTGGAGTCTGTCCTGTTGACATTTCTAGTGAGAAGAGAACAGTGTGGCTCATCAAAAGGAAATAGTGATTGGAATATATTTATTATATTAATCCTTCTGTTAGAAATGTTATCACTTACGGTTTGTAAAAAAATGTATTTCAGCTCTGCCATTTAAACTTTGTAATGACTTGAATGTGAGGCCTTATAAGAGATCAAAAATTCTACTTTGTGAGCTACTGGCATTAAAATTGTGAGCGAGTGATTTGGCTACTGCATGAATTAGCTTGTTCTGGAGCCCTCCTTCCTGAGCTAAGACAAAAATGTATGAGCCAGAGGCTAAAAAACTATGAGCTGGCTCACACTAACTCAGTTTAGAGGGAACACTGAGAGTCTGCAACTAGTGAGTTATTTCCCATGGGAATAAATAAGAGAGATGTACATGTGTGTGTTCATTAATTTATAGGAATCAGTTTGCTTTGGCTTTTTGTAGTCACGATTCAGTAGGACATTCATATTAGCATTTTTCCTGTTTGTTATGCAGTGTCCTTGCATACTTTTCATTTTCTTTGTGTTTAAGTTGGGGAGGTACCCAAGTTCATATAATTGGTCTGAAGAGAAGTCTTTTTCCTGTCCCACTTTCATTATTGGAACTTGCCTTCTAGTGCAGTGACTACGGAAGGCTTACTGGCTATGTCTGTGCTACTCATTGAAAATGAATTAAGAGGACTTGTAATGGTGAATTCATGTTATCATCCTTGGGTGTTAGTTACGGATATGGGCCTAATTACACTGGTTTAGTACAATTAGAAAAGTTTGTGTGTTTATTCTGTACCACTTTTATGTTGCATGCTCAACTGACATGAAAAACCTATAAAATGAGCTTGTAGCCTGGAAAAAGGAATGTGCATATGCAGACAAAGATTTAGTTCTGGGAAATCAAGGAGTTGGATTATGCCAGGATGGTAGTCTTGAACAAGAATTCTCAAGTCTTGAGCATATATGTAGGTTGTTCTATTGTGGATGAGATTTGCCTGTAGGTTGACGGAATGCAGCAGCAGTTAAACATTATAAAGCCTTATATGGCTTATAAAGAAAGTACAAAGTGCATTTGACTTCATAGCTCAATAAAATCCACAGTAACTATCCAAGACTGATTTAACATATCCTTTGTGTAATACTTGCTTAGATGTTCATATTGTTTGTACGGTCTGCCGGTGATGCAAAGAGAATCGCAGATTTGCTTTTATGGGCCTCCACAGGGGCATGTCAGTTTTCCTTTGATCTCTCTGCAGATCTGAAGCCTTTCTGGTTTTCTTAATTTCTCATCAGATTTGCCAGCCTCTTTGCATTGCCTGTTTTAAATGTGATGGGGCTTACAGCCTGATCCTAACAGCATTTACAACAACATTTACTCAGAAGTCATCCTCAGTTATTTTATGGGGATATGTATCCAAGTAAGTGTGCTTGCCAATGCATCCCATCCCAGAGAGTTAGTGTGATATAGAGCTGAGTGTTATCTGCATATTGGTGACAACCCAACCCAAATCTCCTGATAACCTCCCCCAGTGGTTTCACGTAGATGTTAGAGCATAGGGAACAAGATGGGACCTTGTGGTGCCTCCTCCCAATCCCAATCCAGATAGGCGGTCCAAAAAGATACCATATTGGATGGTATTGAAAGCCACTGAGAAGTCCAGGAGAATCAACAAAATTGCACTCTCTCTGTTCATCTCCCAGTGCAGGTCATCCACCAGGGGAGTCAAGGCTGTTTCAGTCCCATAATCAGGCCTAAACCCAGTCTGGAAGGGGGTCTAAACAAGTTGCCTCATCCAGGGAAGCTGGAGTTGTCCAAATATGACTATTCAATCACCCTGCTCAAGAATGGAACACTTTAGACTGGTCAATAATTGTCATCTCCTGGGTCAAGGGTAGGCATCTTTAAAAGTGGACATACCACAACCTGACTCATGGCTGAGGTGATTATCCTGTCTCCTAGGGAAGCATTAAGTACCTTTTGAAACCCCTAAACCGGCCCCCCCCCCCCCCCGGCAGCAGATTTCAGTACCCAGGAAGGGCAAGGGTCATACAAGCAGGTGGTAGGCCTCAAACTTCCAAAGATCCTTATGCATCTTCAGGTTGAATAAACAGAAAGCATCCCAAACAATTGAACAAAGTGGCACCCTGGCACCACCTGACCTTGTGTGGGGTCCACCCCCTATGTGAGGATGCTAGTGAAGAGTGCAAGTTGGAATGGATAGAAGAGATGTTATCTGCAAAGTGCTGAGCAAAACAGCCACAGCCAGGTAACAAGCAATCTGCCCCTTTGTGCAGGCCAGATCCCTGTACAACAGGCATCTGGCCCCCCAGAACAGCTCTGCTAACCCTATGCTGTGCAGATGCAATGGTGGTGGGAAAGTATTATTTCTTTCCTATTACCTCTGCCATGAAGTATGCTTCAAAATAAGCAATGGTGGTGGGAAAGTATTATTTCTTTCCTATTACCTCTGCCATGAAGTATGCTTCAAAATAAGCATTTTCCCATGTCATATTGAATTTAGCTTGAGGCTTCCTCCACTGTCACTCTAGCTGTCTTCCTTGTTTTTTTCATCATTCACAGCCCCTCAGTAAACCAAGGTGGAACTATCATGTCAACTGCCCAGGTCATTTCCTTATTCTAGAGGTCAATCAGGGTATTGACAGAAGCATCAATCTTATCAACAAGAAAATCCCCTAGAGCCAACAGAAAACATTTGGATCCATCTGGCTCCAGGGCCAGATCATTTTAATAGATCCCCCACCCTGCATTCCCGTAAGTCTAAACCCAAGCAGGTAGTGTTCGGTCCATGACAAAGGAACCATAATCAATTCCTCCATCCTCAGATCACATTCCTCCTGCCCAGAGCAAAATATCAGATCAAGAGTGTGACCTGCACAATGTGTAGGACTAGTTATATTACCTGGGATAGGCCTATGGTTGTCAGGGAGACTGTGAAATCCTGAGCCACTCTTGACAAGACAGACTCAGCAGGCATGCCTAGGGGTCCTCAACACCACCCCGAGACCAGCTCAGTAAACTCAGGTAGGCAGCAGGGTGGTAGTTCACTAACAATCCCAGTCCATTATCCCAATCCCAGTATTATGTGCATAGTCTCAAAACTGGTTGCATCCTGGATGAGGTACTATGATAGGAGGATAGAATCCTTATAGACTACAGCAGCAATACCACCTCCCTGCCTGCCAGACCTATGCTGATGTAGCACTGAGTACCCTGAAGGGCACAATTGAGACAAGTTGACTCACCCCCTCTCCTAGCCAAGTCTCAAGTGATACATGCCAGGTCAGCCCACTCTTTCACGCACATGAAGATTGGTTGTTGTTTTTCCTCTGACTGACTTGGCATTTAGCAGCTGGGTTTTATAACCCAGAAGAACTGTTGATATGGTCACCAGCATCACCCTGGCTGGAAGAAGTGTCATGCTCAGGCCAAACTAACTTTTGTTTCTTTGAGTTTCGCTTCCCTTCGCTTGTCATGATGTAAGGGGAGGGTGGAATTCCTGAGGGGGGTGCATGTTGTGGGAGTGCATGGGGGGTAGTAGCCATAACCATTTCTTAAGTTGTGCCCCAGGAGTTGGTTCTCATGAGATCGACCTTGGAGACTCTTTGGCCTAGCTAGGTTAGATAGGGCACCATATATCTGTCTGAGTTGCCATAGGAACGCTAGGGGGTAGATGTGACATATGAATATGTGGGGTTTCATGCTTTTACCTATAACCTGTGAGTTCCCATGGTTTTCTTTAGTCCTAACAAGAGTTCTTGTACCTACAGCAGGCATATCTCTAATAAAGCATTCCACTGTCAGTTGTGTGTGTGGAGAGTGTTTTAGCTGGGGACCTGACAGAAGAGCCAGAAGGGACAAAGAGGAAATTGTGGGGGAGGGAGAAATGAGATGCTTTCCACAAATATTCGCAGGTCCCCACTTGTTCTTTAATTCTATACTCCTAGTCCCATTGAATTGTTTATTGAATGTCTCATGATGTCTGATGGAATTTTTTAGTATATACTTTGTAATCTGCCTTGCGTCTCAATGAGAAAAGGTGGGCACTAAAGTAAATAGATACAATTTACATTTTCATTGGTTTTGATGGGTTTGATGATGGACTGTCAAGGGTTAATGCCTAACAGAGTCTGAGAACCTTTCAATGACAGGCTGTTTGAACAGAATTCTGTTGAGTGAGCCAGTTAAGGAATGACAGTTGGGGACTGACAGTTGAAGAGACAGTTAAGACTGACTGTGGATTGGGAAGGAGGCTAAGAGAGTGAGTGGATCAAGGAGGATCCTCATTCAAGCAACAAAAAAAAGGAAATACGGTAGCTTCTAGTAAAGAGAAATGATCCCTGTCCAGTTAAGAAGGGAAAGACCTTCTAGAAAAGAAGTGTGCTCCCTGGTTTGTGTAAAGAAGTATTTTGGGAACTTGGCTGTATGTTCCTGCTTTCTAAACTTTATGTGTCAGTGAAACTCAGAAACCTATGCTGGAGTGTTTAAGCAGAAACTGAAAAGAAAGCCTCTCTCCTCCAAGTTTTAAAGACCTTGTTGAATAGCAGAAACACTTTCTTGTTGGCAACAGATTATCTGATATAATAAAGCGACCGGGTTGCTCAGCAAGAAAGAAGACAGAAGAGAAAATCCAGAGTGTGAGGGAGGGAAGAGGGCGAGGTCGCCATAATGGACAACACTTTTTATAGCTGTAACTTTGTTTAACATTATGTTGGAATTAAATTTCTGCGGTTGTATCTTTCTAGCAAGAGATCATTCTTGCCAAATCTCAGAGATACAAGAGAAACTCAGTTGTATAGCAAGCAAATTAAAACAATTGGCTTCTGTAACATATAGAAAGCTACTTAAAGATTTACCATGAAAGGCAGAGAGATAATTGTACCTGCAAAAGTGTTTCTTGGTGGGTTTCATTTACCAGGCAGCCCTGAGCCACACCCAAAAGCTTGGAGATGTCTTCAGAGACCACGTGCATGCCAAATGTCATGTCCCAAGGCCCAAGCTGGCTAGAATTAGGCATGAATTTTGACTCATCACGCAGTTCATGCCCATCCCTATTAACCATAACTGTGAGACTTTCAAGGGCAGCATCATAATATGTCATCTTGTTCCTATAAGCAGAATTTATTACACTTAAGAAGCATAATAAATATGTTCCTTTTTCTAAATGTCACATTAATGTTTTGTTTGTTTAATGTTTATAGGTCTGTTGCTTAAACTAGAATTATCACTGTATGTTAATTGTAATACTGTGGAAAAATAGTTGAGAGATTATTGCATGTGTGGTTTACTTCTATTAGGTTCATTACACCTAAGAAAGGCAGAACTCTGATATTAATACATGCACAATATTAATATGCATGTATGGAAAAGGCATCAAATATGCGCTTTGAAGAGGTTCAGACAAAGTCTAATCACTTATTCTATTGCTATATCTTCTGTCAATTAACAACCCAGTAAATCATTATTGTATCACACTACTAGAAGTCCTGTTGAGAGATAGACATGAACTGGCTCACAAACCTAAATTTGTGATGAAAATTGCCTGGTTTGTGTTTCATGAGCCAAGGTTCATGAGCTGAACCATGACCTTCCATATGGTTTTCAGAGATTCAGGCGGTTTGTGGTGGTGCATGTCACTGCCGTCCACGGCAGATACTCTGGCACAGACCAATTACGATCAACAAAGCAACGGGGGGGATTGACTTCTGCAGCTCTGGAAACACCAGTAGTGGCCTTCCAAAGCTCAACAGGCAGCATTGGCCACCAATAAGAGAGCTTCAATTCTGCTTTATGGGGGGCATGTTACATTCCTGGACCTGTGGCTGTGATTTACCCAGAGATCACTTTCCTGGGAGCACCTGCTTTGGGGGGCCATAACTCAGCCCCCCTAAATTCAGTCCTCATCAAACTTGAAGGGCAGGTAGAGGAGAGTCATCTGGAGATTCGCTGTGATTTTGGCATCTTTAGCCACAGGGGGCCCGTTCTACCACATCACAAACCTCATGAAATGAACGAGTTCACTAAATGGGAAGGTTCGTGAAGGTTTGTGGTTTGAGTAGCCCCATGAACAATGAACCGAGACAAACCTCCATTTTCCTAGTTCATGCCCATCCCTAGTCCTGTTCAAGCAATCGGCCTTTGTATGTGCAAAAACATGGAAAATGAAAAGAGTACCCTTCTCTACAATCCAGTTATAAATGGACTGAATGGATTTTCTTGTTTCTGAAATCCTTTACATGAGCAAAAGCAGCCATGTAGAAAAATTGTGATGAAAGGAAGTACAAGGACTGCAAATTGTTGCCATTGCTACACATTCGTCTTTTGAAGTCCATCCATACTAGAAAGGTCATTTCACAAAATATTTAATAATGATTATTAAGTGTCCCATAACAATAAAATTAACAAGTCTTTCTTGATTGTAGGCACTTTGCAGTATATGGCTCCAGAGATTATTGATAAGGGGCCTCGAGGATATGGTGCACCAGCTGACATGTGGTCTCTGGGATGCACCATCATTGAAATGGCAACAGGGAAGCCTCCATTTCATGAACTGGGAGAACCACAGGCGGCTATGTTCAAAGTAAGTGGGGGTATTACTTGCCAATGAGTCTATGCTCACTGTATAGTTGTAGCGGCACCCATTCTAGATTAAGATATCTCCAGTGAATCCGCTCAAGAGGGTATTTTGTTTGGAATACCATAGCCTTAATAGCTCCCAAACCATATGTGGCTAACATGAGTATTTCATATACACTGGTATTGAATAATGTTCCCACTGAAAACTTGTAAAATGTGGGCGACATGCATGCATGTTCGCCTTTAAATACTGGTGAACACATGCCTCGTAACTCTGTTCCAATCAAATTTCTCAGATGCATGTGTGCACGTATTTAAAGACCCATTTTATAGATTCTGCCCCCCAGGCCAGTCCAGGGATGGGGGAAAGAATTCTACACTGGCACAATACATTACACAATAACCCAGAAAGGTAGGCTCTCTGGATTTAAACACAATAGCCACCAGGGATCTCTAAAATTAATCCCTCACCAACCTGAGATTAGAGATCCCCAGAATCTCAGTTGGCAGGTGGGTTTTACACATTAGCAACTCTAGCTCAGAGATGCACTTAATCTTACACAGGTAGCACAATTGGTCAGCGGTTTAGGCTACAGGATTTAGCTTGAAGTCCATTTACCACAATCCAGACACTATTTATAAACCAAGATAAGTTTATTCAGTACAGACTTAGCACAGACTAGAAAGGATTACAAAATAACAAAAACTTATGGCTCTTGGCCCTAACTAAACATTAGAGATATGCATAATTACCAACTTCAGGAATCCATAGTCCAAGATTGTCCATTGTGATAAAGTCCATTAGGTCCCATCTTTGTGCAAGATTCCAGCCATGTGCTCAGCTCCAAAGCAGCTCTTTGTCTCTCCCAGAGACCACATGGCAAGACAGCATTTCGGATGGAGAGCACACAGAAGAGAGAGAGGGCAAGAGAAAATCTGACTCTCCTCCAAGGGTCAGACAATTAAGAACCCCAATCTAATCATAATCAGCTGTGGCCATCAGCCAATCACGGGTAGACAGGGGGTGTCCAACTTTTGGGTTGTCATGGCAATGGGTGGGGGATAGGCTAGTTCTGGGGAACACCCTCTGCAGTCAAATGATCCCCAAAGTCCAACCCAGCCATGGCCTACGTGACATGGGCCCTGTAGCCTGAAAGCAGGTGCCTTGAAGTCTAACTCTTCCACTTAGAGGTGTGAAGAATGTGTGGCTATATGGCATGGCAATTGACCATATGGTCAGCCATCTGGCTGGCAACAGGAAACAAGGTATCAGAAGACATTCCAGGGGGGAGGCAGGGGTTTATAGGAATCAATTTTTCTATACACCATTGAACCAAGAGAGAGAACAGATCATCTTTGCCCCTTCTGGACAAGGAAAGCATAACTTCTACACAGAGCCATGGCATCTTCCCATGTTGGCTCCATTTTGCTATTTGAAGATTGCATAGAATAATTTGAGATTACTAGGCTTTTTAAGATGCAGTAGTTCACCCTGTAGAAGTATCCATTAAAAATCATGTGGAAGCAGGAGTTAATCATCCTGGCTTTTGTGCAGTCCCTCATGAACAGTCACAGCCCAGCTGTGGAAGACCTAACACGCTCTCTACAAGATCTTTCCTGAGTCCAAGAGTGCTCCTCCCCACCCCCCTCTTCAGTATATCCCTTTTCCCACCCAAAGGGTCACTTTCCCCTCAGTTCTTTCCTTGCCACTGTGAGGAGAGTACAAGCCTTTTTTGTGTCTGTTATTTTATTCTCTTCATGAGTATTGAGGCCAAATGATCTTATTTAAGAAATGTGAGAATATGGAAAATGGCACAGAATGATGACCATAAGTAATGCCTACTTTGTTTTGGCAAAGGGCACAACACGGCTTCATGCCCAGCCTGCCATTGTTTGACCCCAAAGGTGAGAGATGGGAGAGTGGCTAGGCTTAAACCTGCCTTGTGGTGAAAAGCGTTGGTTGCCCCAGACCCCCAAGCGGGAAAACAGGCATAGTTTGAGAAAAGACCAAGGGCTCCTACAGTAGCTTCAGTGCCAATTCCGTTGACCTCAGTACTGACCAAACTGCCGGTGCTTGCCCTCTTGGCTTTGGGGCTGGCTTCTAAGAAATAAAAAAAGAAAGCTAAGCACTGAGACTGTAGGTTGCCTTCTTGGCACTGAGTCTCATGATCACCCCAACATCAAAAGTCTGTTTTGCCTTGGGGCAGCACATTGCTGTTGCCCATGGCCAACGTTAGCTGTTCCCTTGACATTGAATTGCTGAGTCTCCTCAGTGCCGATCATCAACTCCAAATGATCGTTGCTCGATTTTGCCTCAGTGTCGAGTTTCTCCACTTCAGGTGGTGCGTCTCTCACCCATCCCAAGGACCCCATCACCATCAGGCCACAACGTCAATGCCAAGCTCCTTCCGACGATGATATATATGAAGTTCCACCACATCTGGATGAACCAAAAGGGAATGAGCAGCAAGTCCCTCAGCAATCCTCCCAGCAACCTCCCTGGTTCCCCTTTCTGATGATGATTCCACCACAGTGGGCTTCGTGGGGCCAACAGGACCAATTTGTTCCATTTCTCTGGCCTTCTTTTAATCCAGACCAGGGAATGGCCAAGGACAAATATGCACCCAGCCACCTATCCATGGGCAACACAGCTTCCCTCCTGTCTGACCCCTAAGAACCAATGGATCCAGACTCAGAAGCTGAATCTGAAAACACATCCTTACTTTTACCTGACAAGACAGTGGGCGAACCTCAGGCTCCATCTCCAACTAAGGATCTGAAGTTGTTTTCCAAGCAGTTTTCATATGGCCAGATCCTTGGGTACATGTCCTCAGAGCCACAGTCCACTGATCCCATTATGAAGGTGTTATATGCTCCAGACTCTTGACCCATAGCCCTACCTATGCTACAGGGTATTCATGACATCTACTATGGGAATTTGGGCCAAATATACTTCCACTTCAGCTTCTGCTAGAAAGATGGAAAATTTGTATAAGGTCAGAGAAAATGGCACCGATTATTTGTTCCACCATCCCCCAGCAAACTCTTTGATCTCTGACACACTCCGCACCTTTAGATAAAGGCTGTGGTCACACACACTAAATAATCCACTTTCAGTGCACTTTCCAACCGGATTTTGCCAGTTCACACTGTACCTTCCCTCTGTATTGAACTTAATTTTGCCACTTACCTCACTATCGAACTCAGAGTGCACTCCACCAGAGCACAAGCTTCGTCTTCAGCTTTCCTGACTGGGTTGTCACTTGATGACATTTGCAAAACAACTACCTGGTCCTCACTGTCCACCTTTGCTTGGCACTACTCCATGGATGTGGATGGTCAAAATGAGGCAGCTGTTGGAAAAGTGGTTCTGCAGTCTGTCTTGCACTAGTCAGCCCACACCCGCTTCCTGGCTAAGTGGGTTTGCTAGTCTCTCATGTGGGACTGCACAGAAGCCACGGCGATGAAAATGGGGTTGCATTTACCTGTAATGTTTGTTCAGCGATTGGTCTTCTGTGCAGGCACACATCTCTCCCTCCTTCACCGCTGTGGGCTGTTTTTATTTTCATGTTGATCTTAGCCCACACGGTAGTGAAGGGAGACTGAAGGAAGCATGCTTGCCCCCATACCATCACATGACCTTTTTGGCAGGTAAAGGGATACACTGAAGACAGGGTTGGGGAGGAGCACTCTGTGGTTCTAGAAAGATCTTTTAGAAAGCTTGTTAGCTCTTCCACAGTTGCCCTGTGACTGCACCGTCCCATGTGTGCCTGCACAGAAGACCATTTGATGAACAACTGTTACAGGTAAGTGCAACCCCATTTTCTTCTCTAAAGTCATCCATTCTACACACAAAAAAGCAAGCTTCAGCTGTCTCTTTAGAACTGCAGTAGCTGGATTCTACACCATTCTGTAGATACTAAGCTTACATGTTAAACAATTCTCGAAAGCAATTTGTCTACTTCATCCTCTTGAGCATCTGTTTGCAGTTGCACAAAAGTTAATCTCTGATTATGAAGTAATTTGAGTGAGAATTGCGGGGATAATCTGACTACAGATAATTAAAATCTAATGTTTCTCTGTCAGGAATACTGACATTTTCAATACAGTCTGTAGACTTGTGTCAGCAGACTCAATAGTATTGCAAGATGTAGAGTATGAAATATCTATACAAGCAAAATGTTAACTGCAGCAACTATGGATATTCAGGATTATGATGGCTAGGGTGCATAAGCAACCAGGAGTACATACGCAGCCAAAAATACTTATCAAAGAAATTATGTTTTTGTTTAGCATGATGTACAGTCGGCAGGGCCAGTAATAGCAAGAATCTGGCAGTTTTAGAAGAATAAGGTTAATAGCAAAAAAAGCACAACTTTCTGGCTAGCTTTGACATTTGCCATCTTTCACTCTAATAATTGATTATCTACTAGAATGTAGTTTTGTCAATCATGCCATCAGACTAATGGATGGCTTCTTTATTTGTTTGGGAAATTTATTTGTTGCCTTTCCAGAGACCTGCTCCAAATACTTGGCAAACTGATATGTATAGTGATAAGAACCTTTCTATGTATAATTAGGGAAGTGAAAGCTGGTTGTGATGGGTTTTGAGGTGCCCTAGGGGAGATTATTAACAGGTTCCTCTTGGAGGGACTGTTCCCTGGTACACTTAAGGAGGCAGTGGTCCATCCCCTCTTGAAAAAACCATCTCTGGATCCGGGCGAATTGGCCAACTATTGGCTGGTTTCCAATTTGCCTTATTTGGGCAAGTTAATCAAGAGGGCTTTGGCAGTCCAGCTGCAGAGCTTTTTGGATGACACTTCCATTTTAGACCCGGGACATGGGATGGAGACTGCACTGGTCACCCTCATGGATGACCTCCAGAGTCACCTGGATCGAGGTGGGTCGGCAGTGCTGTTGTTAGACCTGTTGACAGCATTTGACATGGTTGACTATCAGCTACTGATCCACCGCCTTGCCGACTCTGGAGTTCAGGGGCTTGCC